TCTATAAAGTGGGGAAGTCATTTCCCCTCCCTGAGGTGGGGACAAAAACAGAGTGAGGGTCAAAGGAGAGGGATAGGACGGCAGTCTGGTAACTGTGAAATCCGATGTTTCCCCATTCTAGGATCTGCACCTCTGGCAGAGGCCCCACAAACCACCAAAGGACCAAGAATTCTGCAAACTTTAAGCACCCAAACTTATAAGGAAAAAAGGTACGGGGGGAGGATGGGTTAGGCTGGTGATGGGTATTAAAGAGGGCACGTTCTGCGTGGAGCACGGGGTGTTATGCACAAACAATGAATCATGGAACACTATATCAAAAACTAATGATGTAACGTATGGTGATTAACATAACAATAAAAATTAAAAAAAAAAAAGGTACGCTCCCCTTAGCCATTTGGCCTTTGAGCATGCTCCCCGCTCTCCCTCGACATCAGCCCTGCTGTCTGGGGAGATTCTCCTCACCCTTCAGGTCGAGTCCAGAGGTCTCCTCTGCCAGGAAGCCCTCCCTAAACGCCATGCCAGGTCAGGCACCTCACCTCCCAGGACCGGGGGGGGGGGGGGGGGGGTGGGCAACTGAAGCACGGGGTGGGGTTTTGGAAACCAAACTATCTAAGGATGGCGGGGCAAACCACCCGGGCAGTCTCTCCTCGGTCCCGCCCCTAACTCCTCTCAGTCCTGGGATGTCCCACCCATATTACTCCCGTCCCCCAAACTATTGGTTCGTCCGGACGTCAGTCTCCAAGCGCTCTCTTCCTCTATTGGCTGGTATTCCCAACTCGGGCGCTGGCGCCCTGCCCCGCCCCCTGCCCCACGCCTGTTCGTACTATTGGGCTACCCGCATGCCCTTCTTCCAGGAACCCTCCCTATTGGCTGCAGGACTTTGCCGGTTCAGGCTGTGATTGGTTGTAAACAGAAGTCCATCCCCTGAGCAACCACCAGAGAGGGGTTGGGAAATGAAAAGGTTGGAGGGACGTGGGGTCAAACTCACGCTGAGCCGGCGGGAGGCAGATATAGGTCTTGAAGAACTCGCTTCGGCGGGCGGCCTCCTTAATGCGGTTAGCAAGCGGCTTGCTGACCTGCCGAATGCCCAGGTATAGCAGCTTCGCTATAGGGAACGCGCCCACCACCATCTTGGCGGTTGCACGGGGCACGCGCAACCTTGCTGACTGGGCGGGGCGCCTCCGATCTCTCCCTCCTCCCCCGCCCGCTCGTCTCCGTGCGTGCGTACGTGCGTACGCTCGGGGGTGGAGCACTGCAGGGGCGCTCCCTGATGTCATCGCGTCGACGCTGTCGCCTGGCGTCCGATCGCTGAATATGCAAATATAAGGCGGAAGTGAGGCGGGTCAGGGGGCCGTGCCGTTAAACGGCTGTCGGGAGCGTGGTTGGATTCCCACGCCAGCTTTGGCTCCTGTCACCGTGTTCCTTCGTGACGTCTTGTACTTAGGTGGCTTCCCCGCTCAAAGGAGGCTCTTAATTAGTCCTAATTAGGGCTAATGAGTCCCAAATACGCTTTCCCCGCTGGTTAGAGCTCCCACTGGGAGTAAGAAGAAACGGACCATGTAGTGATAACAGACCTGGGTTGGGATCCCAGCTCCGCCGTTAACTTGCTTGTGATGTTAGGCGAGTGACGTAACCTTTCTGGGCATCAGTATTCCCGTCTACAAAATGGGAATTATAATTAACACCTTGTTGGGCAGTTGTAAGGCTTGCATGAGAATCTTGAATGTAGAAACAGTGAGTGAACCGTGATAGGCGCTTAGAATGGTGCCGGTCACAATAAGCCCCCGAGAAACAGCCTTTATTGCTCTGCAGGTCTGAACGCTGTTATCGCTAACGCCAGCCTGAGGGTGCATTTCATCCCCAGAAATAGTGAATCCAGCCCTTTCCTGAGTAACTGACCAGCTGAGGCCCAGAGAGGGGGCCGGGGGCCGGCAGAAGGTCTCTCAGCCCGCAGAAGGTGATAGCCCGGCGTCTTGGCTGATAAAACCATACCCGTTTTCAAGCAGCCCCACTTCCTCCTCTGGTGGGCGAGGGTCCCCAGGGAGCTGGCTCAAGAAAGAGTTTAAGGACATGTCCCAGACTGTCCTCCTTTAGCCAGCAGGGAGCAAGATCATATAAACAAGGTCAGGAAGGGGTTGAGAGAAATTTCTGGATGGCGGAGTCTTGATGGGTAATTGAGAACGTCTAGGAGAGGCAGAAGGAGCGGGGAGGAGAGAGGAGCAGAGGAGCGGTGTGTGGGAGGAAACCTGTTCAGAAGGCAGAGTGGGGGGGGGGTTTCCAGAATACCCAGGGCTTTCCTCAGCATCCACTCCGAGTCCTTTAGTGTCCTTTGTCAAATCCCTGACACGGATGGACCATCGTTTCTCCATCAGTAATAATGATGGTACTGACATGCGTGAACCCAGATATTCTAAATTCCTTAAAATACCAAGACTCCATAAAAAGAACCCTTTCAGGGCGCCTGGTTGGCTCTGTCAGTTAAGAGTCCGACTCTTGATTTCGTCTGGGGTCATGATCTCAGGGTCGTGAGATCGAGCCCCACACGTCAGGTTCTGCGCTCAGCCAGGAGTCTGTTTGGGATTCTCCTTCTGTCCCTCCCTCCGCCCCCACTCTCTCTCTAATGAATAAATAAAATCTTAAAAAAAAAAAAAACAAAACAGGGGCGCCTGGGTGGCTCAGTTGTTAAGTGCCTGCCTTCGGCTCAGGTCATGATCCCAGGGTCCTGGGATCGAGCCCCGCATCGGGCTCCCTGCTCTGCGGGAAGCCTGCTTCTCCCTCTCCCATTCCCCCTGCTTGTGTTCCCTCTCTCGCTGTGTCTCTCTCTGTCAAATAAATAAATAAAATCTTTAAAAAAAAAAAACCACAACCCTTCCCCAAGATCCCTTATGGACTGAAGGTGTGATAGAGCTTGGGGCCTATTCAAGGTCCATTATCTCCTTGGGACACCCCCCTTCCCATTTTACAGACTGGCCAACTGAGGCCAGAGGAAGAAAAGGATTTATCCAAAGTTCCAGGAGTAATCAGAATGGAGCCATGGCTGGAATTTCTCAAGTCCCAGCCAAGTCTTCTCCCGATTCCTGGGGTGTTAGTCAGGGGCCTAGAGGCCTACTCGGGGGCTGAGGTCCCCATCATGGATTTAGGAAACTTCCAAACTGTACGTGACTTTTTTCCTGTTTATTTCACTGCTGTTTCCTCAGCTCCTAGAACAGTGCCTGGCACACAGTAGATGCTCAATAAATATTGAATGAATGGGAATGAGCATTTGGTGGAGGAGTAGAGTGCAGGCTTTCATCTGATTCTCTGAGGGGACTGTGTTCCAAAAGGTTCTGGCCTTACATCTCCATCCCAGTAGCTTTATGGCTTTGGGGTGGGAAAATTACTAAGCCCCATAGATCCCAGGCTTCCCTCTTTTCTCTCCGCACCCAATACCAAAGCCCCAACTTCCTGCATCTCAGTCACCTCCCCCTCCTGCAAAACCATTTTCCTCATTAAGTTCATTTTTTTTCTCATTCCCCTCCTCCCTCCTCTTCCTTTCTCTGAGAAGGGTTTCCAGAAACCTCTTCTGGGAACTTCTGGGACAGGAGGGTGTGTGTGGGGGGCGGGGGAGGAGGATCTTCACATCTCATCAGGAGCTTGGAGCCTGTTACACATCCATTGGGAGGAAGGGAGGGAGGTGACCTGTCAGAAAGGGCGAGGCCTGTCCGGAGCTGGGTGCCTGCTCTGGCTCTCTAGCCTGGTTATGGAAGGATGCCCATTCCTGGTGATCCCTGAGGGCCAGGAGAGAGGGAGCGTGACCCCATCAGCCAAGGCAGGCAGCCTCAGCCACCCTGGGGCATGGGAATAGAGGCAGAGATGGAGAGGGGAGAGGGAGCCCAGGATAACCCCAGCACTGACTCACCAGCTGTGTGACCCTGGCCTAGTCATTTGGCCTCTCCGGTGACCGCCCTGGAATAGGGCCTGGGATCATTCCCAGAGGTCCTTCCAGTTCGGGCCCCCTGGTCAGCCCTTTCCTCAGGATGGGCAAGGGGCTCGTATTACATAATCCCAAAAGGCCCTGTGCTTCCTCCATCATTTTGAAGTATTCCTGCAAAATAAATCCCAAAGCTGACCACTGTTCCTTGCTCACCCCACCCCCACCCTCACCCCACCCCACCCCCACCGCGTTCAGCTGCCCACACCTCCCGCCTGGACTACTGCAGTCACCTCTTGCTGGCCTCACTGGCCTCCAGGCTGCCGCCCTTCCCATATTCTGTTTCCCACTCAGCGGCCGCTGGGATCCTGTTAACATTTAAGTCAGATCCCATCCCGCCCCTGCCAAGAGCCCTCCTGTGGCTCTCCTTTATTTCAGATTAAAAGGCAAAGTCCTCCCCAGTACCTACAAAGCCCCGATCCAAAGATCGGCTGGTCCCTTGCCAGTACCTTGCCAGTCCCATCAATCATCAGTCATTCCTCTCACCCTCCCAGCCTCCCCCTGCTCCAGCTGCACCACTCCACTTGCTCTCCCTCAAAACCCAGGTACTCTCTCACTCCAGAGGCTTTGCACTTACTGTTCCCTCTGCCCAAAGTCCTCTTCCCCCTGACAGCCACAGGGCTGACCACCCCCCCACACACACCTGCTCTTTGTTCCAATGTCACCTTCCAGGGAGCCCTCCCCTGACCTCTAGATCCGAGTCCATGTTATTCTCTGTCCCCTAAATCGGCTTTCTTTTTCCCCAGGACACTTATCAATTCCAAACATTATATTTATTTTTATTTACTTGTTTACCATGAGCCCCATGAGGGTGGGGGCCTGGGCTGTCTTGGTCACCCTTGCGTCCCCAGCCCCAGCCAGCACAGGGCTGGGCCGAGAGTGAATATAAATAAATCTCTATTGAATGAATGAATGAATAAATACCCTTCTCTTGTCCTGACCCCCTTCCCAAGCCTGCCCTGCTCAGCTCTCCTCCAGCCGGTCTGCCCCGATTGCCTTTCACTTGGGTTCTGAGTCTGCCTCCCCCTCAGTCCTGACTTGGAGAATGCTGTTTATCTAGAAACTCACACTTGCTCTTCTCGCCCTCACTCCCTTAGATGACTAAGGGCTTCCCAAGGGCGAAAATGACCACTCTACCCCTCGGTGAATTTCTTCTCCCATCTTCCCCTTCAGTCCCCAAATTTTACCTCCTTGTTGGAAATAATCCTTTTTTTCCCCCTTTCTTTTTGTCGTTACCTTCTGGAAACCGAATATTTGACTTAATTTACTTGTCCCCTCCTCCAGGGAGCCCTCCCTGACCCTCAGCCTGGGTCAGATGCCCTCTGGGCGCCCCTGCATGAGCCCCATCCTCTCTGGGTCATCCCTGTCTGGGGACAGGTCTGTCTCCCCGATTGGAGTGGGAGCATGTGAAGGAGGGCCAGGATTGTCATTCGTCACCGCTGTGTCACTAGCACCACCCAGCACAGTGCTAGGTACAGTTCAACCGAATTGTTAGGGGGTCGTGGTAGAGGATGATGACCGAGCAGTGACCCACCAGCCTCACTGTTTTCCTGTTTTCTTCTACTCTTATCACTATGAACACGGCCTCATTTGCATACAGTTTGCTTACATCAGACCAGGAGGGAAGGGAGTGTGGGATAAGATTCGAGGAGTGAGGGAGTTCTGCACGAGTGGAGGGTCACTGTGCGGGCGGCAGCATCTTCAGCTGCACCTGGTCCGCTTGGGAGGGCGGAGCTGCCACCCAGCCAGCTGCCATGGCCTTGGCCATGCTGTTCCTCTTGGAAGTGAGTGGGGTCTCCAGGGTGAGTGAGGCGTTGGCCATCTCCTGTGGCTTGTCACTGGCCAGGAAGCGGAGCAGATTGTGTAGGGCCTTGGCCACGTCGCTGCGGGCCCCCTCATTGACAAGGCAGTAGAGGATGGGGTCAGCCACACAGTTGAGGCTGGTGAAGGCCAGCGAGCTGTGGTAGGCCGAGAAGATGCGCTCCTCGAAGCCACAGTCCCAAGGGCGGCCCAGGTAGACGGCACTGCGTGAGAGCAGGAGCACGTGGTACGGCGCGAAGCAGACCAGCACGATGGCGATGAGACTCAGGGCCAGCCGCTTGATCTTGGCCTTCTCCTGGCGCTCGGTGGACACACTGCCCCGCACGGCCCGCAGGATGCCGCGGTAAGACAGCAGCATGAGGGCCCACGGGAAGAGGAAGCCCACGAAAACCCGGTAGAGGTTCATCCAAGCCACCCAGCCCTCCATGGGGAACTTTTCGAAGCAGAAGGTGTGGTTGTAGCGGTCGCGGAAGAGCTCGTCGTGGAACAGGGGCACCGAGTTGGCCCCCAGCTCCGTGGCCCAGACCACGGAGCTCACGGCCACAGCCGTCTTGACCCGGCGCAGGCGGGCAAACCTCAGTGGGTGGGCCACGGCCAGGTAGCGGTCCACCGAGATGCAGCACAGGAAGGCGATGCTGATGTAGATGTTGGTGTAGAAGATGAACCCGAAGAGCTTGCAGGAGCCGGGGCCGTGGATCCAGTTGTCGTGGTGCAGGAAGTAGTCAACCCACAGTGGCAGCGTGCAGATGTACAGCAGGTCGGCGATGCTGAGGTTCATCAGGTACACCCCCAGCTCGTTGCGCTGCCGCACCTGGCGGTAGGCTGCCCACAGGGCCAGGCAGTTGGTGGGCAGCCCCACGCCGATGACGAAGATGTAGAGGAATGGCGGGAAGAGGTGGTCCATGCGCGAGTCCACGTGGCAGCCGTCCCACGTGCGGTTGCCCATCCTGGGCGCTGAGCCTTCTGAGGCACTTCCCCTGGCCCACGGGGGCTGTGGGGCCACAGCGGGCGGGAGGCCATCGGGCCCCCTGAGCCCCCTCCTTGGAGGCTCAGGGGAACATGGTGGGGGGCAATCCACGGGGAAGAGGCGAGGGTGACCCTGAATCGTGGGCCAGCCTGGGCGGGGAAGGGTAGAGCTTGAGAGGGAAAAGTCGGAGGAAGGATAGAATTATGACAGGAGGGAGGCTCAGGGCGGGGGATGGTGGGAAAAAAGCTTTGTCAAGGGGGTGTGTATAGACCCAATCAGAGTGTAAATGAGGCAGTTTTGGGGTAGCACAAGAATTGCCTGAGGGGGGTGTTTATGGAGGAGACGAAGGCATCAGCGGGCAGTAGGAAGAGGGAGATATTTGTAGAGGATGCAGAAAGTACTGTGTGGCCACAGTGAAGTGATGGGGGGGTGGAAGATGCGTGAAATATATGCGATAGTGTTGAGACAGGACAGACTACAGTTAGGGAGGGTGGAAAACACCAGGCAAGGTCAGTCGGGGCGCTGGTGTTTCCTAGGACCCCAGTAAGAAAGAAGGAAACAAGCTGACTGATGAAGAGAAGATTATGGAAAAAGAGGTACCCTCCGTCTGGGAAATGTGGGAAGGGTGTTTAAGAAACAGGAAGGAGGTGAGTAAGGGCTATTATGGAGGAGGATTACAGATGGAGTGAGGAATTTGAGGGGGGGCAGGGGGAGGGCTCCGGCTTGGTCGTGGTGGGAGCTGAGCAGTTGGGATGAGGTGGCCCGCCTCACAGTTCAAAGCTGACTTTACAGTGCCTGTGGGGAGAGAGGTCTGTGGTGATGGGAGTCACGGACACCCCCTTCTCCCCACACCCCTCACCGTAACCCGTGGGCTGCAGAGGGTGGACACCCTGGCGATACCTAATTGAGCCTCATTCTAAGCAACAGATCTGTGTAAATGCAGATTTGGGGGTCTGGATCTATTTTCCCTGATAGATGTTAAAGACCCCACTCAGGGGACCCCTGGGTGGCTCAGTCGTTAAGTGTCTGCCTTCGGCTCAGGTCATGATCCCAGGGTCCTGGGATTGAGCCCCACATTGGGTTCCCCGCTCGGCGGGAAGCCTGCTTCTCCCTCTCCCACTCCCCCTGCTTGTGTTCCTGCTCTAGCTGTCTCTCTCTGTCAAATAAATAAATACAATCTTAAAAAAAAAGCATATAAAGACCCCACTCAGAATTTAGCTAGAAACCATCTAAAATGCACAAGTATTTTATCATGCTTTGGGAAATGCTAACCCTGTCATTTCCCAGATGGAGATGAAGCTCAGAAAGACTGCTCGCTCCCATCAAGGATGCACAGCAAGGCCATGACATAACAGGGACTACTAACCCAGGACACTCCATTCTTGACAATGATAAAGACAGATAATAACAGCGAAGGTTTATTGATTTATTCTACGTTGCAGACCCTGTTCTAAGCACTTTTATGGGTATTAATTCATTACATTTTCAAGAACCCTAAGAGGAAAGTACCGTTATCCTATTTGACAAACTGAGTCACAGAGCAGTTTGGAGACCTCTCCAAGGTCCTGATGATGACAGAGGGACAATCTCTGCTCTCACCCTTTTTCTCCAGCTTGTGCATGTTTCCACCCAAGAATAACTGAACAGAAAGGGGCCCTGGGCTTGGCAGTAGGGGCTGGGAACCATAGCTGCTTCGGGCTGGGGGGGGGAGGGGAGAGAGGAGGGGCTGCTGGGTGTGATCACATTCGGGCAGCAAGGGGAGCCCTGGCAACAGGGCTGGAGTCCCTCCCTCAGGAACCACTTCCCTCATTGCCTCTGCTCCACCCCAAATTTCCTGAGTGAGAACCTTGGGCCTGTCACCCCCTTGGGAAGACCTGCAAACACAGGGCAAAGGACAGTCATGGACCAAACCCCCGACCATTGTCAGCCCCAGAGGGTAGGGGAGTGATGCCCTGAATCAGAGGCACCTTCGGAAGCCACTCCTCTATCCAGAGCTTTATGTGGGGTTAGTTTTTTAAACTGTGAATGCTTTTATTATTGTTATTATTACTATCTTTTTAAAATAAGATCTTAAACTGGAAAGCCATCTAAGTGGAAAAAAGAAGCTGCTCTGTGTTCTCAATGAAATCAGGTGGGAGGAGGGGGGCCACCTCTGAAGAATCCCCCCGCGACACACTTAGAAAACCACTGGTTGAGTCAACTGGATTTATCAGGAAACCGAGGCCCAGAGAAGGGAAGGGATGAGCCCAACGTCACACATTGGGTTCTTGGGAACCTCCCAGATGCCAAACCATCTTTCCATGGGAAAGTCCTCTTGGCTCTACCTCCACAATAAACCCTGAATCCATGCATGTCTCTCGGAACCCCCTGCCAGTGTCTGCTCTGCACCACCATTGCCAATTGCTCGATTGCTTGGACCATTGCAGTAGCTCCTCACTGCTTTTCCTGGCTGCCACTCTGGCTTCCTTCAACTCACTTGCCACAAGGCAGCCACCAAGGTCTTGTTAACATGAAAATCAGCTCTCATTACTTCTCTGCTTGAAATCCTGAAATCCCGAAATCCCAGTGGACTTCGGGTAAAATCCAAACTCCTTGCCCCAGGTGACAAGGCACTGCTTGACTTCCTCCCCCCACCTCCCCTCCCCCACCCCAGAGGCTTAAGACCCATGACCTTCTTTCCAGCCTCAAAACCTTTGCTCTTTCTCAGATCTTCTTAGGACTCAGCTCCCTCACCTCCTTCACTTACGCACAGAGTCCCGCCCACCCACCCCCAGGGCTCTCTCCTCACATCACCTCGTATCTTGTTCCCATCTATCTGTCTGTCTGTCTGAAATGGACATTCCAGGAGGGCAGTAACCTTGTGCTGACTGCTGTCTCCCAGCACCCAGGAGAGGCCCAGCATATAGTAGACACTCAATAAATGACTGTGGGTTGAAGGAACAGGCATTGGTCAGCCCATCCTGCAATGCAGGCTCTCTCTCCCCCTGAGGCAGCTACAAGTTCAAAGAAGTCCCTGCAGGGTCCCACGGAAAGAGGTTGGAAGGGAAAAAAAATGAAAAGGGCAGGATCTATCCACTACATAATTGACTTTGAAAGGTCAGGGCTGAGTCCCTGCTTAGTAAGCCCTACCCCCTGTGGGGTCCTTAGCAACCCAGCGGCTGCCCCCACCCCAGGCTGCCCCCACCCCAGACTCGCAGACAGAGGTTCCTGGATCTTGTGGACAAAGGGCGGAGACAGAGCTCGCTCCCTGGCTTGAACAGTGCAATCCAGCCCCTCCCTTCGAATATTCCCCACCCAGACCGAGTCACTCAAAAAAAAAAAAAAAAAAAAAAGTCCTCTCTCTGCCCTCAAATCTCCCCTTCTCTCTGACCCCTGGTCTCCTCCTCTCTCACCTTCTGTCTCTCCCTCTTCTTGTAACATCGAGAAAATTCATTCTTTTTCGAGAGTCTCAGTTTCCCCTTCTGTATAGGGGGGAGGGCAGAACTTTTATACTATTCACATCACAGACAAGAAAATCCTTGATAGGACATCCTATCATCTACAAAATGTGCAGCATTTGAACAATTATTATTATTCCATGGGCACAGGAGAGCTGAGACCAGAAAGGAACCAAGGCTGGGAGTTCCCTTGGCCCCATGCTGTCCAGACCCCCTGGGTTCAGCTGAGGCTGGAGCGGGTACAGCAGGCATAAGACTTATTTCCGGAAGCCAGAGGAAATACACTTCTCATGGCTAATTTCCTTGAGGGGGAACCAGCTGGGCACTCACCTCACCCTCCTCCGTCCCTCCTCAACCCACCTGCTTCCTGGGGCTTCTGGGCATGAGGAAGGGGTACTCAGCCCTCTCTTCTCCCCACCTGAGATCTGCCCACCATCAAACCCTCAAAAGCACAGAACGGAGACTCTAAGAATTCCACAATGCCACAGGTCTCTATGCCCCAACTGGGAGTGCAAGGCTATTTCTGACCCCTTCCTGGTACATGTGGGGAAACTGAGGCCCAGAGCAGCAAGACCCTTGTCTGAGTCATGTGATGTGTCAGGACCGGGCAGATCTCCAGTCTTTCTTAACCCAAGAGCGTCCCCTTTCCCTGAATGTTTTCTCTCCTCACTCCCTGTGCTCCTGTAATGTTTCTCAAGTCTTTCTGGGGTTGTCAGCCCCCTTTGAGAATCTGCTAAAATATACAAGGAAAGACTTTCTCACCACCAAAAAGCAAGTGACCACAGTGTCTTTGTGCCCCTCCAACACCTGACTCCCTTGCCCAGCCTCTGGGGTGTCAAGCTCCTCTGCAGCTTGAGCTTTATTCGGGATTCAACCCCCAAATCTTTGAAAAAGAAGCTCTCCCTATCCCCAGGTCCCCTTCTTTGGTCCCTGCTAGCCCCTCCCAGGAAAGGGCAGAGAGATAAGCCCAAGTGTGGAGTGATAGTGAGGGGACCAGAAGGACTGGTCAGACCCCAGCCCCCGCTTTATGCCTCAGCTGCTCAAGCCAGATAAGTCTCTGGGCCACCCCTAAATCCAGCAAGGCTAAAGGACTCTGGAGGGTTGAGAGGACCAGATGGAGAGGTGATGCAGCCCCCCCCACATCCCTGGCCACCCTCAGGGTTCACTCACCAGGCTTGTCCTAGAAGCCACCAGACTGCCTCTCTGCCCCCCTTCCCTCCTCTGTTGGTTCCTGCTTACCGCCACCCCCTTGGCAGCCCCGGGGGACAGGCCAGCTCCGGTCTGCTCATTAGGGGACGAAATGTGATCACCGTGCCTCGCTCCCCACCTGGTGCCCTGGCGGCCAGCGGAAACCAGGGGGCAGTCAGGCCTCTGTGACCACCTCGCTGGGCCTCAGTTTCCCCATTTCTACCATAGGAGTCCCCATCTCCCCCGCCCCCTGCTCCCACACCACCCAGAAGGGACACCAGGGTCCTCCTACTCGACCCCTCTGACACCGTCCATTCCAGCACTCAAAAAATCCTCAGGATCTATTGTTAGTCCTGTTCATGGTTTACCGTTCTATTATTGTAACATTCCAGAGCTTTACCTTTCTTCCATTCTATTATTATTATCCTAGCGGCTTTCCATGTCCTTACCCTTCAAGTTTCTAATATTCCAGGAGTCTCACATTCCAAGATTCTAAAGTTCTATTGTTAGAATGCTCTATGATTTTTTTTAAACATTCTACGACTTTCATCATCTATTATTAAACTCTCGGTGATTATTATCTTGGCCCAGCAAACACGAATACGTATTTCCCTGTTTTTTTTTTTTTTTTTTACAGAAATGGGAACACACTCTATATACCGTGAACCCCACTTCCTTTTCCCCCCTTATCTCTTCTGCTTGTTAACTGCCCAGCAGCCTGAAGGCCCAAGGTGGCACAGAATTCTAAAATATGCGGGGTTCACAGGAGGTTGGGGGGGAGTGCGCTGTCACCTCCATGTAGCTCCTAAATTCTCCCTGCCCTGGGGGGACTACTAGGACCCCAGAAGCCCAGGCTGCCTCCATCCCCTTGCTACCCTGCCGGCCTGCCCTCATCCCTCCAGCTCGCTCACACCAGCTGAGTTATTATTTGTCTAGACACAAACCAAATTATAGGCCCTGTCCCAAGGGAGCAGTGGGCTTCATGGGGAGGGTCAGGAGACAGAAGCGGGCGGGAGTTAATCCCTGCCCCCCCATTTCCCTTCCCCTCTTCCCTCCTTCTCTGAAACTCCACCCCTCCCACCCAAACCAACTCTTGTCCCCTCTCCCCTCCCCAGCA